AAGGATCACGTTACAAGAATGATGATAGTGTGACTGCGGGCCGCTACGCATATTAAGAGAAATTGGCGTGTTTCATTACAAATCACACACTAAAATGCTTTTCGTCTTTAATCTATAAAATAATCCGTTATGCTGTTATTACATTTTCCCCCAGGAGAGCTCTCCTCTGATAGTTGACAGCACCTAAAATGGATCACGAAATCACAACTATATCCCCTTTTTATAAATGTAGATTGTGACTACAATCATTAAAGGTTATATCAAAGGACAAATATCTAAGTATTTTAAAAGATCTGGTTGGGTTTCCAATATGCTATTTTTAGAACACTCTGACGTCACCAATAAGCGTAAATACCATATCCAAACCGGAAAACCGATTGAATTTTGAAATATCTTATGTTTCAAATGAGCAGATCTCTGCTGAAATCTCAACATTTTGTGATGTTTTTTACGATTATTATGAACCAATTGTTTCTATTATCTAAGATTATTCCTAGTTTCAGGAACAGAAGACATAATCCTAACATGCCTTATTTGATCACAACGTACACGTACCAGTAAACATAGATCTGATTGCTGCGTTTGGAATAGCGCTACTAATGTTTATATAATTTATAACTAAATTGACTGCAGTCAAAATTGATGCAGTTCGCTAAAATCTTTGGCTAAATTATTGTTAAACATGAATCATGAACATTAAAGATTAAAATGTATATATCTAAAAAAAAAACTACTTTGTGGATTGATCTTATTACAAACCTGTAGAGCTGAACACGTGCTAAGCTTAGGGACTTATGATAACCTGTTTGTAGAGCTGAACACCGGCTAACCTTAGGGACTGATGATAACAAACCTGTAGAGCTGAACACCGGCTAACCTTAGGGACTGATGATAACAAACCTGTAGAGCTGAACACCGGCTAACCTTAGGGACTGAAGATAACAAACCTGTAGAGCTGAACACCGGCTAACCTTAGGGACTGAAGATAACAAACCTGTAGAGCTGAACACCGGCTAACCTTAGGGACTGGAGATAACAAACCTGTAGAGCTGAACACCGGCTATCCTTAGCGACTGATGATAACAAACATGCAGAGTTGAACATCGGCTAACCTAAGGGACTGATGATAACAAACCTATAGAGCTGAACACCGGCTAACCTTAGGAACTGATGATAACAAACCTGTAGAGCTGAACAACAGCTAACCGTAGGGACTGATGATAACAAACCTGTAGAGCTGAACACCGGCTAACATTAGGGGCTGATGATAACAAACCTGTTGAGCTAAACACCTCGGCACTTGAAGCAATCACATGAAATGTAAAGAACTGATTTTGTCAAGGAATAAAGCCACCGGAAGGAGATCTTTAAGTGCACCATATTGTTATACTGTTCATCAAAGATTAACCTTTTGAACTTGAGGTAATAGAAAATCATGTTTAAAGTGTTCCAAAACATATGTAAATAAGCAGCGAGAAGGAAAAGGCGGCCATGAAACCTTTTTCAACGTTACAAAGTTACAATTTTTTGTGATAACAGATATAGTGAATTTAGTAACAATTTCTCGATAATACTAATAGAAATCATTCTCGTTTGAATATTATGAGTACATGTGATATTCAAAGCAAAATAAACTAGATATACGATTAAGTACAATTTGTACAAAATATTTGTTAATTGTTTTGTTTTTTAAGATTGCCTAGTGCAACTCAATTCCAGCATGTTTGCATAGCAATCCAATCAGTTATAAAGAGTTATCGGGTAGCAGACTAAAGTACTATTGGTAGTAACACATTGAAACCATTGCAGACATGCAGTCGTAAAAAGTGATAAAGTAAAAACACAATAAAGTACTAATATAATATGTCGCTGTCCGGTGGATGTGTTCTCAGACTGGGTACAAGAAATCAGGTGGTGACTAGGTTTTTAAAAGTAAAATGTTCAATCTTTCAAACGTTATTAAGCATTTCTTTGTATATCAAACAGCTATCCGATTTTTATGAAAGAACGTTAGGGGGATTGATTTTCCGACGTTGAGAGCTTTCCTTCTTTCTCATATACATTATCATTAGGGGTTGAATCTTTACCGACATTTTATCTAAACCCCTAACCCGTGCAAAATTACTCTGAACTGCTTAGCTACGGTTCAAATATATCTTTACAAGTTACCAAGTCCCTGGACCCGATTTTTTTTATATATTTGAAGATTTGCTTGCAGACTAACAAAGATGTCTATTTTACTTCTAGATCGGCTTCAAACCTGTCAAGTTCATGGTATTAATGTTCCGCTGAACTAACCGCGAAGATGACTTGAAATAGTGTTTGTAAATCTGTCAAATACTGATTTCATTTGTTGGTTTGCGCTGTCGATATATTGGTGGATTTGAGTGATTGAAATATACATCTGGCATAAAGCATTACGTTAGTGTTTTATTGGTTATCGTCAGTCGACCGAATGGCGACTGAAAATTGAAACAAAGAATACTTTCCAAATAATCCAGATTAAATAGACAAATGGATCAACTGTTCACAGGGACAGAAATGATAAAAACGCGTAGCTTGTGAAATATGGAAATATAGGCATCACGTGACATAGGTTAGCGTGCGCAAAAGAACAGCCCAATTTATATGATAAGATTATAAAGGTCACTTTATTTATCAAAGGCGTATCGACACTGAGGTAGACACGAAAAAACGTTTGTGATAGTTTCTTTTGTAGAAGATATATTATCAACATATATTTGTACACACGGTTAAATTATTAATTCGAAATTCGAAAATGTTGGGAAAGTAATAAATTCAGGCCGCAAGCGGCCTTCGTTAATTTTTCTTTTCAAACATTTTATAACCAACGATAATACATGCACATACGTTGATTATTCCTGAAATAGTCGACAATGATATATAAAGCACGGCGATCTGGCACTTCATGTCATTCGTTTTTAACCTATTATTTTCATTAATTTATTAATAAATTCTAGCTCCTAGGCTACAGCCATTCTCGTGAACTTGCCACCGGTCACACTTAACTTGCTATCACCAATAACTAAGCGAAAAGAGTCGTCACCATTGTAAGAGAGGAAACGTTATGAATAATCGTCATGATAAAGACTGCTTTGTGGGATAATAGTGGATGGAATAGCAAAGACTGTGGAACCGGATTGAACAACACTATTAAAGCAGAGGGAGAGAGAAATACAAAATCAGGATATTTTTTCCATTTGCATTAACTCATAATCCGCGAAATAAAAATGAGGTTGAACTAGATAAAATATTGAAAGATGATGAAGAAACAAAGGATAAATTTGCAAAGACAAAATGTATAAATAGTAAAAGACAACCGATTTTTTTAAAAAAGGCCATATGCAAATCGAGTTATCAAGAACACCAAGAAAGCAAAATGACAAGATGTGAATATTTCCATTGGTACATATGATTTCTAATGAAAGGAACATGTTTGGGACCCTCCAAATACTATAACTTTTTCTTCCTTTTATGAGAACATGATGCAATAATCAGAACGTTAAACATACAAATTCCAGTATTATTAGCAATCAGCAATACCTAATGTAAGTGTGTGTGTCCATTGAGTTAACATTGTGTGTTTTTCCAGCGTCGCATGAATGCTTTGTGTATGATGGTTTTTACGTTGACCCTATACATAGAACCGTTATTTATAGTGTTGATGTAAGAAGACACAAATAACTAGAACAGGAAATCCAATTACCTGTAAATAATTATAAGTATAAGTGTAACGATTTCATGTAAATTGATACAGTTTCAGAAAATAAAGCACTATTGTAATCCGAGTGAAAAGTTAAGTACTCATTGTCTTATACAAAAACAAGCTTTAAAATCGTAATATGTTTATTGTTGTTGTTGTTGTTGTTGTTGAAAAGTCATTCCTAAAACAGCAATTAACAAAGTGAAGACATTTCAATGAATTTCTCCGTCAATGTATTTTCTTTATAGAAATATTAATTAAAAACTTTAAGCAGAGGAATTTCGAAATGAAAAAAGTGTCACAACAGACACCTACATACACCATACTTTTGATGTTAGTATTTGGTTGAATGGTTTGGGAAAATGTATGAAAATACATTGAAGTGTTTTTGAATAACTGATGAAAGACCACATTTGTCTGTGTGGCGGACAACCTTCAATTGTTCGTCCTGTTTCAAAATAAATTTGCTTCCCTGACTTTTCAGGCTGCACTCGATTTCGATTTTTGCACGAATAGATTGAATTCAACACAGTTTAAAGCCATGTTCTTACGTGCTATCTTAGGAGTCGGATGAACACATATTTGTAGTATTGTCTATATAATTGATTCTTTTATTTTGAGTAACCACTGAAATCACCATAGTAGTGCGTACATTACCGATGTTTATAATTACACTATTCCAGGTCTATACCTTGATTCATTGACGAAGATAGGTACAGATGAATGCTATTTTTTATTCTGCATTTATATATATTATTCGCAACAATTATCAAGAAAACTACTTGATATTGACGTAGATGAGCTATTGTTTGTAAAGTCTGGTAGACGTGTCGTACAGTACATGTATGTGTCGCTATTTTATAAGACATTTCTTACATTTAGTTAGCTATTTCTAATATAAAGAATGCTTGTTATTGTTAAACGTTCAACATTTGGCATGCATATTTATTTTTTCCAAACACAAGGTAAGTACAATGAAACTGTTTCTGACGATAAACATACATTTAACATAGATAACGATTAAATTAGAAACATGGATGATGATTGGGGCGAATAATACATCTAAATATAGAAGCGGGAAATCCAGTATGAAGTCGGGTGCTAATTGAAGGAATGGAGAATCCGCTGTGACCTCTGTGTAAGCATGTTATCATGTCTATTTATATTTCATGAAATACCCTGATGACAAAGGAGCTAAGTAAGGATATTATCCCAAAACAACCTTGTTCTATAAATTGTTCTATAAATTGACCATAAATTTTCGTTTTATTTATAGGAGTAGGACATCATTCAAGGTATATAAATATTCTTCCCGTTATCATAATAAACGTTACACCGTTCACTGTAACAACATGAAGCTTCCGGCTGCAAACGTCAAGGAGAGAATTTTAACACGGAGAAGGATTTCAGAAAATGTTTGTGATACAACAGATTCGCGGTGAGCTGGAAGGTATGATAAGGCGTTCTAATCTATATAGAGTGACTGAAGAGGTAAGTATGTTCTAAAATTAAAACCCACTTCATCCACCCACCGAGAAGAAAAGTCCGGAGATCCGTAAGTAAGATTAATTTGTTGATTAGTCAGTATCTGTTTGATTTAACTTAACTTAACAGTATCTATTCTGTCATGATCTGTGGTCTAAATATGCAAACTCCGATATTTTAAGCTCAGTTTGACTTTAAATATTTTATTGATTTTGAACCGATCATTTTGTTATTTTATCTGAGCATGGTTCAGACTTCTCGAGTTTGTAATAGCTAGGTTTGACGCTTTATACGTTTATATTTTATTGAATGAAGTTCCTTGTTTACATAAGGTTCGATGGTAATATAAAAATAATTTACTTATAAATGTTCGATACCATCACACTTCACATTTACACACTAAAATTTTAGGGTTCTTTTTACAGAAAGAATATGACATTGCTATCCCGTTTTAAATTTGCGATAAACATGTAATTGTAAATAATTGACAAACGAACAATTAACCGAACATTTTCCTCTCACTTTTGTTTTTAATTAATTTTTTTTTTTTTTTTTAATTTTTTTTTTATTCTAGTTCATAGACATCCCGTTACACATCATTAATGAAGGCGTGAGGCACTCCACGTACATGATGGTCAAAATAAACCCACAAGACAAAGATGGGAAGATTTATATACATGAAGTCCACACCACACAGACCTCAGTTTTCAGGTAAAAATATATCGTATTCCATAGCTGCTGCACGTTCTATCATGTTTAGAATAAAATTTCGTTTTGATCGTTTCACTTAAAAAAAAATCATGCGACCTAACGTCATGATAACTTTCGATATAATTCATGATTTATGAAATCATCCCTTACATTGCATTAAAATCAAATCGTGTGTATAGGCATAGAAGATACATTGATATCTAGGGGATACATTGTGTCTAGGTAACCGAATTCTGAGTATAAGATATGCTTTAAATACATTGTACAATGTATTGAGCACTATTCGCTGAGTATTGTATACTATACTTTAGAATACGCTCTTTCTAATGTAGTATAAATCACAAGAAATAATTGTTCGTGGAATGTTCGCTGTAATTTGAACCATTTGTTCACTAGTGTATCTGCGTGTTAACACAGTTTTTAGTCAACCGTTGTGTATTATCGCGATGGAAATTTTCAATGGATCATTTCCAAATATAGTTGTCGGAAATTATCAATAGTGTCATGATTCAAAATATGTTAAAACGTTGATTTCGATTTTATGAAGCATTCCAACTTGTTTTCCTAGATGGTTGACATAAAAATGATTGAAAAACATACCACGTGTGTGATACATGAAACAATTTTGATGTGTAAATCCTCCAATCAAAATCCCTAATGTCGGCCATTTTGTCAAACTGTAGCTAGTTGAAATAAAAAAACACTTCCCTTTATTTGACTTCGAATTTTCACAACACAAGTAAAAGCCGTCCACTGCAGCACCTTTAAGATAAACATGGTGGTAATACGTCCGTTAGTAACATACGTATAATGAAAGAACATCGCAATATAATCCTTCCTATGTGTTTTAACTCTGGCAGACGATACTGTTGTACTTATGATCTGTATACATGTAGGAAGCCCACGTTTAAATCCTACCTTCATAATGACAATGCTAGCGTGTACAGGTAGACCTAGCCATGCAAAACATTGACAGCTTAATGGCATATTGTCAATACAAGTCAATGGCTTAAGGTCCTTGTGATACTAACCAAACATGCAAGTTATTCCTCTGTCGTGTGTGTACCTTGTTATGGTTCAGATGGTCTTTACCCAGGTATATAACTTGATACGTATCTTACGTCGTCTGATCAAATTCCACCAGGTTATTTACTGTATGTATATTGTTTGCGTATCAAATAACCCTGGTTTGGTTGTGTTGTTTCAGACCTGGCGATGAGCTCGTGGCATTAGACAGTGAGCTTATTAACGACTTCACCGTTGAAAATATACAAGGACTCTTCTCTTTTGAAACGGACGCAAGTGAACAGCGAGTTAAGAATGTGGTAAGATTTTTTTTAAGCATGAAACAGAATATAAAACAGATATATGTACATGTACCTGTTTAGACTCAAGTAGATCAAAGACGATTAACAATGAAATAGTATTGTTCATGTGTGAGTATATAATATACAGTTTATATAAAAATGAGTGTCACATTAACGACATATACAGACATATACACCAATAATTAACCGTACTCAAATTATAAAATTACGTATTTCGTGATATATTTACGTTTTACCATTGTCAAAACATAATATGTACATAATCTTGAAAGGTAAAGCCGAGATTAAGGCCTATATTTACATATGTTTGTAAATCACTTTGTTTGGTATCGATATGGTTTTATTTGCGAACAGATCTTTGTCTATGAATCCATGTAAAGATGTTGGACATTTGTTTTGTTAATTGGATGTATGCGCTCATATTAACCTCAAATCTATAAAAACGAGTCCAGAATGTCAATGTCATGATATTCCATTTCACTTGCATGGCGTGTTCTTCACTGTATGGCGTCTGTCCTGCAGCATTGGCACGTCCATTTGGTCAGTAAATATTAAAAAGTGTTACAAGGGGGTGGGACTGAATGGTACTTTAATCTGACAAAACGATGAAATATTCACTAGGTTAAGCAACATACCTTGGTTAAGATACTTAGATATGAAGGAAAGATATGATATTTTGGTCAGGTTGGTAAGGTAGTTGTTTTAGTTGTTTTTGTTGTTTTAGTTGTTTTAGTTGTTTTTGTTGTATTTTGCGAAAATAGCAATATGTGTTGTAAGATCATAATCACTTGGCGAAAGGTTCTGTTTGGTCAACAAAACAAGACCCCAGAAGGACCTTAATGGTTAACTGAGTAAAGGAAAGTATCAGAATTGAAATCTACTAGTAAGTTTCAAAGCAGAAGTTGTTTAATGGTTTGTACTCTGTTACGTCGAATGGCCTGCCTCCAGCACCTTTGGGTCAGACACATCTTGAGTATAGATTCTGATTCCAACACTCTGGCTTATGATTACCACTATGTTTCATCAATATCTGACTTGTAGGTTTTGAATAGAAGTAAAAGATAGGAGGTTTTGCACTTATTGCCCCCCAATATTAGTCAATGGTTATCTAAACTATACAGTTCCCTCGTCATTTTATTTATTTAATATTGTATATAGTACATGCAGAACTTTGTCCGTTTGACTACAATACAAACCACTTACCTTGCTGAGGTCAGTGAAAAGGTTCATAAATCCTTAATTGTTAATATACAGAGGTTACATCGGATAATGACTAAAATAAAAACACAGGAATCAGCGAACAATAGTTAATTCTATACCATATTAAACATCGTTAACCTGGTTTTGTCTCTAAAAATTGTAGACGATAAAACGAACAGAGGATTTGGAGAATGGAGCAGCAGGAGAAACAGAGGAGCTTGACGTGGAGGTTGCCATCGTGACAGACATGATTTCCATAAGAACCAATGAACATGCTAGGTGGACACGTGTACGATTCCCAAGACCACAAAGGCAGCGGCATCAAAAGCGGAGGGTACAGTGGGTGAAAACGAAGCGTGGCGGAGTACAACAAGTGTTCATTCAAACAAACAATAGCAAATACCTGACGGTCCGGAATGGTGGCATCGTGGGAGACAATTTGGGTACAGACAACATGGACGATTGTAAGTTAATGAAGTCAAGCTTAAATGTGATAGCATTTTATTTTGGAAACCTATGTTCAAATGGGTGTACCAAGGTGGGTATTTCAGATACGTACAATTCTGACTTCTTTAGTTTCGTCCGTTGGAAATCATTATCATATATTTTCAGGACCAAAAATGAATGTAATCACTTAGAATTCCTAATGTTCTATTACCAAAACTTTGATTGTTGTAGTTGTTTTTATAACGAACCACTTTCTTTTCGTATTTCAAAAAAGGTATAAATGCTGAATTTTGATAAGCAACCGAAGGTACATAGATGTTTCCTCTTTACTGTTCAATATTAATATATGAGAACTAAAATGACATTAGATATTAGCGATACATTTGTTATGGCCAATTAGAGTCTGTTGGAGATAGAGATCACATTTAAATCAGTTGAATGACGTAACCTTCACAGTCAAATGATGTTAAATAATAGCTTGCAAGGAACTTATACAATGATTATGTGTCGGAGAAAATTTAGCATTCCAATCTCAGGGATAAAGACAGAAAAACCCTAGGTTTTGAGTAAGATTAAGTATGTTACTGTTGTCGACATCAGCTACCATGTGGATCCATTAATGATTTCCATATTCTAATTATAAAGATATGGTGTATATATGTATTGCTTATGATTATATACTGCATTGAGGAAAGGTTCAATAATCCAATAACTAATCTATGAATAGTAATAAACGTAAAACTTCATCATACGAGACTGAGCGATTATAATCTAAGTATATATGAACAAGCAGATAATGTCTATGCCAAGCCGGTACGACAAATATTCACCAATTAAAATACGTTTTTTGAGAAGAGTTGGTATATCATCCTCTTTAAGATATATATAACCTAAGAATGTTTATGCCCGCCCTCATTGAGATATTATCAGAGGTATTCAGAATTAATAAATAAACTCGTCGAATATCTCTACTTTCGTGATAGAAATCGACCACTGACGCACAACATTAGAACATGTGATTTTCAAAGATGCGTGTTGAAGAAGAAATAGGGCAAAGTTTCATGGTCGACATCATCGTCTCATCGGGAAGTGGACTATTTCTTTCTGTGACATGAAGATTAAATTTTTTTTCATAAGTGTGTCTTTTCCGTTGTCATGACCCCCAATTTAGCTTTAAGGAGGTCACATGACTTGAATTTGACCAAGATGTATATGGCGGATATAATTGACGGAGTTGAAGATGCATACTCTTTCAGAACATTAGTTTAGATCTCTTTTTTCACGATTAAATACATAAACATAAGATCACATGCAATTGTCAACTTGTGAAATGCTTCTTTGCAGTTACATTCCATTTGGAGCCAATGGTAGCAGCTTACTCAAAGGCCCTTCGACGTTCCAAAGTCGTCATATGCTGTAAGATTCGTTGGAAATCCTTCTGGGTCAAAACGGTAGAGGGCAGTGATGGGGAACTCGGAATGGAACTGGTACGAAATCACTTGTTATACATTCCGGGGTCAATCTGTATATGGCTACTGATTACATCTTTATTGTTATTCGAGTTGAATTTTAACAAATGAAAATGTTTTAGCTTTGTTTGTAGCAACAGGAGTACTGTTCGACCAATTTGAATTAAGGCCATGCCAACAAACAAAAATAGTTTCACAATCATAGATTAACTTTAGAAATACCAGATAGCTTCAGTTAGATTTAAGTATTTGAGTGCACTTAATATTTTGTAATGAAAAAGAAGAATTCGATTTGTTATGGTTGTGTTGAAAAGTTTAGTTGGTCATGTTTAGAGACAAGTTCAATGAAAACTGATTCCTTCATCATTCTGTGATATTTAATGTCGCATTGAAAAGTTACTACTTTTTGTGTGAATAATACGTTGATAACATCGCATTGTAGCACCATCAATTATGCACCAAATAACAAATCAATAATAGAGAAATTATCAAAATAAATTATTATTAGTTTTTCATTCCTGATTTTAAAACAAATACTTGTAGATATATAATTTAACATATATTATACTCGTTATCCCAAAGTTCTTCTCTTTATATTGCTAACATAACACATATACATATGTATGTACTTTTGTTAGAGTGACGATGACACTGACGATCATCTAGCTGTGTTCAAACGTCGGGTGAAGTCTGACGGACGGTTCGGAACTGGATTCGAGTGCCTTTTGTTCAAAAGTAAGTTGAATGTAATCGATTGTTCCACGACAATTTTACATTAACTTTCCAGTTTATGTTAGATATTTTTTTAATATTGAGTTTGGAAAAACAAAAAAGAATGAAAAAGTCCCAAAGCATGTATTATCATTTAATGTATATACATAATGCATAGAAAGACTGTTCTGAATACTCTGAATTAATAATCTTTTGAGTTATTTTGAAACTAGGTTCGCAATTAACAACTATTGGTTCTTTTTCAATCACAACGAGCGGGGAATAAAGACGACTGTAAATTTTCTATTAGTTGAAATTCCAATTTTTAAATTTCCTGATGTATTTATACACTTTTTTAAAATTTCCCTGAACAACTTATTGTTTTATGAATTTAACTATTCCAGATGTTTACCTCCAGTATATTCCCCAACAAAACAAAGTGGATATTAAGCCGTACAATCCTCGAGGAGACTTCGGCACAACTCTTAGATTTGTTCCTGCGTCTACTCTCTTCCGAGTGATATCAGTTAAAACGTCTTCCACTTCGAATCTCCTTTATTCGCCGAACGACACATCACCGAGGTTCAGTGCACACATAGACGAGTTTGAAGCCGCCGAAGGAACAACTGGTTGTTGTTCCAAGTGTTTCGGCTTCTTCAAACATCACAAATCTCGTTCGGACAGAAACGAATCTATAAGCAGTTATCCCACAATACCTTCAACAGACATAGCGAGTAGGGCAGACACAGAAGGTCCAACAAATTGACATGTTCGTATATATATATATATATATATATATATATATACATGACTTTTTAAATTTATTATATTTTTGGTGTGTTAGTAATTTGTATAATTGTAACCTTGCTAAAGGAAATCGACCTCGTTGATACATCTGATTGACTTCTTTTCAACTGATGTTAAAGGTGATGGCATGGTAGATCTACGTTATCCGTTGCAATGTTCATTCTTTTTTGTCTCGCAGTGCGTGTTTATTAAACGAAACTACCTGCGCATTGAATAAACCCTATAAACTATAAAAATAGTTCCGCGCTGTTTTGACATTATGACGAAAAAAAAGGTATCAGCATTTATCTAAAATGATATTTGAAAGAAAAACGAACGTTGTTTGTAGCAAGCAAAGCTGTAGATATGTATTCCTTTTTTGCCAAGATATCAAAATTAAACATTAAGTGTGTATCGTCATTTTGACCAACCAGAAATGGGCATTTAAGTTACATTCCATACGTTTTTTTATATGTATTATTTATAAACTTAACTCGTAACTTTCAATCCATGTATATTTCAAGAGGATATTTCACATTTACATATCATGACAAATCCGGATTTCTTCTTCACGTGATTTCAACAGCTCACCTTTCCGTATCTTTTCCCGATGATATTTATTAAACAATTGTTGGCATGATTCTTTAAAACGCAAACAACTCAACGCTTAGTGCGCAAATTTAAATGTTACGAAAAAGGAATTATCGAGCAATCATCACATCGTCGAAAAATATAAGAAATCCACAATTTATTCGCACTATCTATTTATGGGCAATAGTTTCCATCTTCTCTACGTGGCATTAACGTATTGTTATGTATGATACCTAGGGTCATTACATATTGTGTACATATTCATTGATTGGATGTGCTAACTGTTATTTATTTATGTTACCTAGGGTCATTACACATTGTGTACATTTTCATTGTTTGGATGTGCTAACTGTTGTTTATTTATGTTACCTAGGGTCATTACATATTGTGTACATTTTCATTGTTTGGATGTGCTAACTGATGTTTATTAATGATACCTAGGTTCATAACATGTTGTTAATATATGGGTTACAGTGATAAGATGTAGTAGCTGTTGTTTATTTAACTCGAGTAAGCTAATTTTCAAATTTCAATTAAACATTAGGTTTAGGCAACAAAAAACAAAACAAAAAAAACAAAAAAAAAAGCAAAAAATAAATAGATAAATAAATAAATTAACCGAGGTTCCAAAATTTGAAAGTCAACAAACGAGAGTTAGAGAAGCATGACCATCAACCATTTTTGGGATATTTTTCTTCCACAATGTTCAGATATTTTATCTGGAAAGCCCCATGTCTCTCTTTCGAATACAGTTTCTAATCAGAAAACAAGAGCCATAATTTATGACGTCACAATAGTAGATGATGTCGAAAAATATTTTCCCTTCACTTCTTAATAACAAGATTGACCAATGAAATAACGTTCATAGTTTTACTCACTAGTTGGTAAACAAAAATGTTTACCAACTCTGAGCAGTTTTATATCCAATGAGTCGAAATTGAATAAGTATATAGTGGTTGTTGGAGGAATAATGTTTACGTGTTGTTGTTTTTGAGTTTGTTCATTGTTAAAATATATTAAACGTAAAACGCACATTAAAAACTATTTTTGTATTATTATTGTTTAAAAGCAATAAAAGCAATAAAAGCACTGAACACAAAAATATGTTTAAAAAAATGAAATATATATATATATAAACAAATGACATGAGTTTCTTAATACCTCCCTAGCGCTTTCACCTCTTTAGAGATTCATCAGGGGAACTGTTTATTTATGTTAACAGGATAACAACATTTACACATATATTCTATCTGAAATGTTATGTTATGAAAGTGTTAAGGAGGACAAACACAAGTTGTCGTTACCGTTGTCTAACTTATCAGATACATGTATCTTCTCGAAGTATCAACAATGATTCTCATCGATTTCTTAGCAGTGTTGTGTAGCAAAGGCCATTATATTTCAGTATTTAAGAATCGAGCCAGTGGCCTCTGATATACTAGTCTTACGCTCTACTGAATGAGCTAAAGAGAAATTCCCCCCTGACAAGTCTGCAGACTACTAATTTACTAGGATGATATACCCCCCTACTATTTGCCAGAGGTCTCAGTGGTGCTTGCGAGAGCAACGCTTTCACAATATTGCCCGAGTACCACGGTGGCGCCAAAGTAACGAACGTCATTATTTTGTTCATTGCCTTCGCTAGGGATCGAACCCGTTACCTCTAGTTTATTAGACTGACCCTCTTCTTACGAAGGAGTGGAAGAGAAAATTTGCCAAACCGAGAGGCAAGGAAACGGTTAATAATTGTCTAAGGTTACCGTTGTTAACATTCCTTTCTTGTTGTCCAGAAATATATAAATAGCTACAAATGTACGATATATGACGCGATCTTAGGTTTTGATACGCTGAAAATATCTTGATGTTTTATCAGCTGCTGGAACCCCTTTACCGTTCTATTTTAACCTATTTAATAAATCACGATCCCCTGATAACCCACTCTTCCTAAAAAAACAAACTCACCTTTTATTCTTCACTACGTTCTTTTTATATATATTTTTTATTTACAGTAACGGTACTTGTTTTCGGTACAACATAGAACAAGAACTATGCACATAAGTATTAAAATACGGATGGATAAATTAAAAATTCACGCAACTTAATCAGCAAGAGTTTCATAATTCATATTTATCCTTACATCTTGGCAAGACGGAATGTATATTGTTCGGTACTAGACAAAAAAACTAAAAAAAAAGTTGACAACTTCGAAATAAATGTAAATGGCCAAACAATAAAAGCTTCAGAAAAAGTGTGCTACCTTGGCGTTGATATTGATCAATTTTTGACAGGAGACTTCATTGCTGAGAACATAATAAAGAAAGTAAATTCTCGTCTACATTTTTTGTACAGACAATGTAAAAATCTTCCTCTAGACATAAGAAAGACGCTATGTAATTTTGACTACTGCTGCTCAGCCTGGTATTATGGTTTAAATCAAAGGTTAAAAAAACAGTTGCAAGTAGCACAGAACAGAGATGTACGTTTTATTTGCGATTTTGGGCCAAGGACGAGAATAGATGGTAAAGTCTTAACAAATCTGAATCTTTTGAATGTTGAAAACCGAGCAAAGCAATTGGGCCTAAACCATATGTTCAATGTATTTCACGAAACTTGTTCAAGTTATATTACAGAAAAATTTACGAGAGTTAATGAACGCCATGGATACGCAACTAGAAAATCATCTTTAAACTTTACAGCGCCATGTGCAAAAGGTCAGATGTCAAAGTCTTTCTTTTACAACGGGATTCAGATTTGGAACGTTTTACCTTCTGATATATGGTCTATAGCAAACAAAATGAATTTTAAGAAGAGAGTGAAAACATTTTTACAGCAGAGTTCTAGATATTTTATGACTAGTTATGTGTAACACATAATGCGTTTTATGCAACAGAGACCGTTAGTGTTTTATACTTATATGAATATTACCATATGTGACACAGAACATAGGGTGGTGGTGTTAATTTTGTACTCAATATATTACCCAGTGATAAATATATGTATGTATTGACTTGTACTTGTATTTGTAAAATGATCGTATTTATGTTATATGTTAGGGACCACAGTGGAAATAAGTCTGTGACTTTACTGTGTTATCGTAAAACATGTATTGTATTGTCCATGTGATGTACTTTTATGTATTGATGCAATGTTTTACCAAATAAATATATCTATCTATCTATCTATCTATCTACGTTTGCAATATCTACGGAATCTAAGACAAGTAGCGGCTATAAATATCGTTCGTCTCAGGAAATGAATTCAAGAATTAGTGACAGGTTTTGGAATGATAGGAATACAGATATTAAACTTTGTTTTTAAATATAAAGGTATAGCACATTTGGTATAATTAGATCGGATTTGAAATTTGATAAAAAGGAAGTCGTTTTTATGTTCTCGATCAACGGTTTCGTTTGTAAATTTCCCGTTGTGAAGGTCTGGAGCCTGATACTCTTTAAATGACATTGAATTTATACAATAAGTCATGTGTTGTTCTTGTCAGGTACTTTATGTACCTATGAATCTAAACACACAGTTGTTGAACTTCAAGTGCTTGGTCAAGTACATGAATATGTACAAGTTTCTATGAATTACTAGAATCATACCAGGGCTTTGTTGTCATATATGGCTTGTCACCAAAACTTGTATTAAGGTGGGTCTTTGAAAATTTCCCTGACTGTCAGGTTTTGAAGTAGGAGAGTGCTGATTTAACCGGATAATTGATTTGGTATAAGAAACATTAATATTACATAATTATTATTATTATTATTTCCTTTATTTCCTCCAAAAACGAAGAGTTACAGAAATACGAACAAAACACTATTGAAAAGAGAAGAAAATGCATTCACAATCATGGTCACACCCTGACATAGTGACTCACACATGCACATGGACAGACACACACATAAGAGAATAATAATAGTACACGCATCATACCATAAAGTACTATAAACACAACACAATGATATAATAGGTACTATTACAGTCATTATACGGTGATAATTATGATGATAGACAGTATAACACTAATCATATATTACATCACACATTGATATA